GTTGGCAGTCTGGTCCCCATCCATGGGGGTATTTGGGGAGCTGCACACCAGGGGAGCACTGGGGGCATGGCTGTCTGTCCCTTCTCCACTCAGGGGCTGCAGAGGCAAGACAAGAGCCAGCCCAGCCATCAGAATGTGCTCCCCAAGTGGAGATTGCTGTGGGCATCCTGAGTAACCCAACCCACACTGGGGGTGCCCGGGTGGGGAGACCCTGCAGATGCACCAGGGGAGGTGGTCTGCCCTCAGTGGGATGCCACAGCACATCCCAGCAGGCCAGGGCTTAGAGAAACAAACCTCCCCATGTCTCATGTCTGAGAACTTAAAGACGGATAGCTCGAATTTACTTCAGCAAAAAGAAATGCTGGTAAGGCATCAAACATCTGGGAGCTTAAAATGAAAGCAGACTGTCTCCCCTCTGCAAGGAACAAGCACGTCCTCAGGCTGGGCAGACAACAGGAGCCCAAAGAGAACAGCTGCTGGCCCGTTGTGGGACACAGCCTTGGACACTGCTTCCCTGGCTGCATGTTTTCTCCTTGCCTTGACGAAGATCTGGCCGCTCAAGCTGCTCCCAGAAATTCATGGCATTTTAGAAATGAGCCCAGAATTTCCTCCATCCTTCTTGTTTCTTTGTTTTGTTCTCGAGGCTGTCTGAATGCCATGGTGCCTCTCTGGGTTTCCCTGGGCTGGAGAATGGTCAGGGGCTGGTGGCAGCACGTGCAAGCTTCACACACTCGTGTATGGGCAGTGCCATCAGCCCAGGAGTCCAGGACACATTTCCCATCCCTATTGCAGATCAGTTGTGGTGGCAGAGCAATGCCAAACCTTTGTGACCTTGTGACAAGGGAGAGCACCTCCATATCAGCAAGGAGACAGCTGACAGAGCCTGGACCTCACAGCTTCTCTGGACAACAGGCATGTGTCTGCCTCCAATGGGGAAATGTCTGTCTCTGCACTTCTCAGCCTCCCCCCAGAGGTGAAGCTCCACATCCACGCTCAGAAGGGTAGAGCAGGGAGCAGGAATTGGTGCTGATGGGGAAAAGAGCAGAAAAGTTCCCAGAGCCAGGGATGCTGTCACTGTGAATCTGCCAAAGCTGAAGCCTAAGGAGCTTTCTTAGCTGAAAGGCACTGAATGCAATTCCAGCTGCTCTGGGGAGTATTCCTGAGCACAGATCATTATTGTTATTATTTTCTTGTTTCTTTAATGGTATTGAACATGCTCTAAGACCCTTAATCACAGAGGAAATTACAGCAGACTCTCAGTGGGCTGACAAATGGGGCTGAGCACAGCCAAGAACAGCCATAGCTGACAGTGTGTCCTGCCAGGAGCAGCTTCAAGGGCAAAGGGGGGGATTGGGCAGGGAGCAGCCCCCTCTCCATGGGCCAGGCAGGAGGCTGGAAAGAGCAGGGTGCAGGGGGAGCCTCCTGTGATATCAATCTCATGGTTTAGCCTATGATTTTGTAAAATAAAAGGTGAACATTTTAAATGAAACATATTCCTTTCTTTGACACCAGGAATTATGGATGGATAAAGATTTCCTATGACCTTATAAAATCTACCAGGCCAATCCTCTGCAGCCACTCACCCCATCCAAGAGATTCCAATGCTCTGGGCACTGCACTGGAGACAATTTTCCTGTTTCAGGTCACGCTGCAAAGCCAACAGCAAATAATTTCCAAAATGATTTGCCTCTGTGGGCATGGGGCAGAGGGCAGCCAAGGACCAGCAGCAGAGCCCACTTGCTCCCCAGACTGGCCCTTGCCTGCTCAGAGCCTTTTGCATGGGAAACCCAGGACTCACTCTTGATATCAATCTCATGTTTTAGCCTGTGATTTTGTAAAATAAAAGACGAAAAATTTAAATGAAACATATTCCTTTCTTTGACACCAGGAATTATGAATGGATAAAGATTTCCTATTACCTTATAAAATCTACCAGGCCAATCCTTCAGCAAGGCCATGCCCATAATTGCAAGCAGATGTCTTTCTCTGCTGACACATTAAATGGAAGCAGAAAGACCCGCTGCTATCTCCCATCAACAATTTGCACTTAAGCAGAGAACAGATTTTCACAGAGCAGGGCTGCTGGAGGAGGAGGAGGGGGATTAGGTTCCTGTAGCCCAGGCGTCTCAGCATTACAGCAAAACAAGGCAGCTGGGGAAAACAATGAACTCTAAACAGTCCCTAATTCCAAAGTAACCAAAAGCTTTTGTGCAGGAAAATGAATTTGTGAAACTAATACTGCCAGGGCCCATGGAGAGCACAGGGGCTGAGGCAGTGCAAGGGCAAGATGATCCAGCTGACAAAACCCACCTCAGCTCCCACGGACCCCGCTGGGCTGCACTGGCTCCTGAGGCTGTGTTAGCACAGAGCACAGGGGCTGGAATTATCAATACAAGTGGAAGTGACAGGGTGTTTAGCAAACATTAAGCCCAGGAAGCTTAAAAGGTCTTCCAGGATTATTAAATAAACATTTAGGACGAATGAAAGCCTATGAAATGGTGAAGCAATTGCAAACACTCTGGGAGCAGGCAGTTGGGGCTGCAGAGATTCAGCTGTGCAGGAGAGTGTTTAATCATTTATGTGGTGTCACACATTGTCACGCCTCAGCTCATGGCAAGTGTTAATCCAGGAGCTGGACTTTGAGAGAAATTTAGCCTGATACCAACATTTTATTGAAGACCATTTAACATGCAAGGCTGAACGTGCCAGCCAGCACCATCAGTTTGGCCAGGCCAGTGCTGCCATCGCTGCTCCACGAGCCCTGCAAGAAAACACATGGCCTCACACGTGTTAAATCACCTCAGAGCTTCCACAAATAGCTCCATCTTCTCCAAATCCAGATTTTCCTTTGCTGTACAGGAGCTGGGGAGGCTGTCTGGCCTGGGTGTGCTCACCCCCACCTGAGGATGACCAAGCTAAAGATGTCACATCTGTCTCAAGGGGCTGCAGTTTGTTATTTTCAGGAGAGGCTGCACACACACACACATCAGCCTGCCCAAGGTAAATGCCCTGATCTCCTCATTTCTTTCCAAGCAGAGATACTCACACTCCACCATCCTCCTGGGGCCATAATTTATTCATGTACAATGCCACACCTCCCAGTTAATTAGCCTCTCAGCCACACCAGTAACTCAAGAGTTTGGAGAAAGTCAGATTGAGGGCAGTGATTAGGTTATTAATTATAGGCTGCCAATAGCACAGTGGGCCCCAGCCTGGACTAAAGAAAAAGAGCAGTTTTGGTGGCAGCCCCGTGGGGCTGTTCCTGCAGGAGAACAAGAGCAGAGAGCTGGATCCCAGAGAATTCTGCACTGACTGCACCAGGTCCAGATCCCTCCAGCCATGCCCTGGCTTCCCTCCTCCCCTCCCCAGAACGGCCTGGCAAATATCTCCTGGTTGTCTCTAAAGGAAAAACGCTCCAGACAGCAGTGAGCTCCCCATCCCAGCACATTTCTTCAGAAAAGAAGGACTGTTTGCTGACTGCTCGTGGCTCTGGGGATCTTGGCAGGCTGTGAGAGGAGCCCGCTGTGCTGCAGCGTGCCCGTGCCCTCACACTGGCAAGTGGAGACAGATTCATCACTCTGATGTGCCGGGAGCAGACAGAGCCAGGGCTCCCCTGGTGCTGCCAGGCTCTCTGCCAGCAGCAGGGGCACAGCACACCCTGCTCCTGCCGTGCAGGCAACATTCTCGTGGCAGACTGCTGCCCCAGAGGAGATTTCAGCCTTGATGGGAAGTGCTTGAAACAAAGCCCTCGTTTGTTCCAAGGCTGTGAGGCCACCCTGACAGGTTGACCCGCACTCCCGCCCTCCTCGAGGCTCTCCAGGATGGGGTTTGGCTTTGGGGAGTGTGCTGCAGAGCTCCTAGACCCTGCATGTGGGGCTGGCTGCAGGGAGAAGCTCCCAGGAGCAGAGGAGCTGCCAGCCTGCCCCACTCCCCTTCCAAGGAAGACATTCAAGCATGGCTTGGACACCAAGTAGACTGCCCAAAGTTGTTTAGCCAACAGGCTCAGATGGGATCACTGGGGAAGAAACAGCAATAAAAAAATGTCTGTTCCTTTGGAAAACAGGGGTTTTAAAAGCACTCCCTAGACCCTGGAAGATGCTTTTCCTCTCTGGGGCTGAGGGAGCTCTTTCTCCTTGGTGCCACTGTGGCATGCAGAGCCTGGCTGGGATGGAAAAAAGAACCTCTGCGCCAGGGAGCAGCAGTTTCCACACACAGCCCTGGCCCTGGGGTGGAGGGTGGCTTTAATTAGGGGGGTGTGTGTGTCCTGCTCAGGGGTCAGCCAGCACGACACAGTGAGAAAGCAGGAGCAGCCTCTGACACACAGCAGAGCATTTCTCTGCAAGGCTGGGGAAAGGAGAGTTGCACTGTGGCTTAGAGAATGTTTCAGCTGAGATCTTGCATGTTCAGCCACTCACTGCTGGGTCCACCCACAGCCTCAAGGAGCTCAGGGGTCCATCCCCTGCTTCCCCTGCCCCACACGGAGCAGTGAGAGCAGCCAAGGCAACTCCAAGGGAAGGAGCTCGTTATTTCCACTCTTACTCCGTTATTTTTCAGTTATTTGTGCTACACTCACTGCACACCTGGGCTGCCTGTTTATGAACAGCTGATTAAAGCAAACCCAGCTCCAGCTGGCAGATGTTTAGCTGGTGAGCCCAGCCCTGCTGCCTGTGAGCCAGGGATGAGCCAGCTTCAGCCTGGCACAGCTGCAGGGCATCACCCCCTCATCCTGCACAGCACTCAGAGAGTTCCACACCACGCTGGTGTCCTCTCTTCTCCAGGACAAACCCCCCCAGCTGCTCAGCTGATCTTCCCAGCAGCAAAGCAGAACACAGACTGCCAGCAATGTAAGAAAATCAGCTGAGGGGTGGAAGATGAATTTTTGTACAGCATGAAAGAAAACTGTATTTAATCAGTAACTGAAGTACAAACTGGAGGCCAGACAGGTGGAACTGAACAGAAGGAATGCTGGAGCAAAGAAGATAAACATTATTGGGAGGATAGACTGAGTCACAAAAGGATGATATTTTATTTTAGGGTTTAAGGTTCATAGTTCAGACAAGCCCAGGCTGTAGCAAGCCTGAGAGTCCCAGAGTGGCACATCACTGTCCCACAGACACCCCACAGCCCTCAGCAGGGCAAAACTGGGGGTGTCTCCCAGCACAAAGTATGACTGAGCACTTACACACATGCTTGTAACTTAAACCAGAACTCATTGTAACAATCAGCATCCGACATTTTAAAATGCAAAGTGTGTCCATGAACTGCACAAACACCCATCTCTGCTCTGGGAACACTACACCAGACACATGGTGCCTGATTTCAGGAGACTTTTGTGCTTTCTCATGTCAGTAAACATCTCTTTGCTCCACATGGCTCCACACAAGCACAACCCAGGATCTTGGGTACTTTCTCCATAGTTTTAATAAACTTTCTCCAGGTTTTAATAAACTTTTCTTGTTGGAGAGCAGTACAGGAAATCTAAAGACACCAAAGGCACCCACATGCAGTTGAACTGCAAGTCTCACTTTTTACATGACCAAAAAATCCTTCAGGAGTTGCCAGGAAAAGAATTGATTCTGTAAATTTTCAGCAACCACGCCTGGCTTCCTGCATCTCTTCAAACCGACCTGATGCTCTCCCTTTGCTCAATGACCACAGACAAACCAGCAGTGGAATGCAGGGACACAAAAAGCAGAGCCAGATTGAGCCCAGGCACCAGCTCTGAGCTGGGAACAGGAGACCCCAAGCAGCAGCTCCTCAGCACTGACCTTACCTGGTCCTGTGGTGACCACACTGCTGCAGCCAATGTCTCAGCCAAGTGCACAGCAGGGAGAACTTGTCCCTCACCCCAAGCTCTTAAAGCTTCCCCTGCAGGGAGAACTTGTCCCTTACCCCTTAAAGCTTCCCCTGCACTAAAGACCCAGCTGGGGCTGCAGCAATTTCTCAGCAGATCCTCACCCAAGAGGTGGGTAAAGGATCACTTGGATTAAAACCACTGCCAGCTGCAGCCAGGGCTGGCTGAAGCAGCAGGAGCTTCCCAGGAAGGGCACTGCTGCTGCTTCAGTGAGCAAGCAATCACAGAACCATGCAAAAAATAAGGTTGGAAAAGAGCTCCAAGATCATTGAGTCCAGCCCTTGGATGAACACCACCACATCTGGTCATTTCTTGAGGCATTCCAGGGATGGTGACTCCACAAAGGAGTCAGGAAACAGCATCTCTTGATAAAAATGGAGGTGGGGGGAATCGTATTTAATGGATTAATTTGGCAATTTTAGCAGCAGCAGCACTCCCTCTGCTGTGCTGTGCTCAGGAAGGTGACAGAGGGTCCTGCCCTGTCCCAGTGGGGCTTTTAGGGGCACTGTGGGCACTCACAGAGAACCACACTTCCAGCTCATCGTGTCCTGACTCCATTCCCCACACGGCTGGATTTGTCAGCCCTCTCCATCATTTCACCTCACCAATCTGTGATGTTAAAGCCCATGGTTTATTTATTTCTTTACTTCACTAATAAAGCACATTATCTACAATGATTAATTTTGCAATAAAGAAACAACACTACTACAAATGGTGCTCTAAGACAACCTAAGGGGACTCTACAAAGTTCACATCCTAAATCCATCTCTCTGTTAGCTGTGAAACATCATTCCTCAGAGTACTTGGCTTGTTAATGGAATTCTTCTACAACCAAGTCCACGGCTCTGTCCCCATGTGGGAAATAAGCACCACTCCCAAGCTAAGGAATAATTAATGCACCAGTTTTGAGGGGGTTTGGTTCAAACCTCAGAAATGAGGATTTGTTATTTCACTTAACTGTGATACAACAGGATTATCTCAGACATCAGATATTCATTCTCTCAGAGCATTGGTGATGGATGAGAATACTGAATGGAAGGAGGAAGGATAATGAATACAGAGTGGTATGGGTCTATGAAAAAGAGAACTAGTCCAATTAACAGAATAATGAATTTCAGCTTGGTCGATAAATGTAATCATTTGTGTAAAACATTCTTTGTCTTTCATAAACTATTTGAAATCATACAAACATGACATTTCAATTAGGGCAAAAAAGACATAATGATAGAGAGCCAAGTTGTCATAGATCAAACAGACAAAACCCCAGACTGATGGGTCCCACAGCAAAGAGGGGAAGACAGAGACCATACATTCCCTGTGGTGCTCCACAGGGAAAAGTCCTTGGCCTTCTGCACTCTGGTACTTTGCCAGCAGCCTAAAAGAACTATAAAAACATCACTGGTAAAGTGAGGGAGTGACACAGGCTGGAGAAGCTGGCCATGGGCTCCACCCAGCCAAAGCCCCAGGCAGGCCAGCAGCTGAACCTGTGCTTGGGCTTAAAATGGAGTGCCAGGTCTGGGCACCAGCAGCTCAGGCCACCTGTGCACAGGAACTGCCACAGGCAGGGAGGGATCTCAGCTGGGCACTGCTGAGACAGGGGCCTGCACGAGGCCAAAGGCACAGGTGTGGGCAGAGCCCCCTCTGCCCCTGCTCCCCATGCCAGTGCACAACACACTGGGCACAGTGCAGAGACTCAAAGGCTGCCTGGGTGCAGCACTGGGCAAAGGGGCTCAGCTGGCACAGCAGGTGCCAAGGCAGGCACCCAGGGACACAGCACAAAGATGCTGGTGAGAGAGGGCTCCAGCCCAACAAGGCACCACAAGGAACCAGGGTTAAGGCTTAAACTAAGCAGGTTAAGACTATAATGGGATATTTTTACAGTGAGGGCAATTAGCTATTAGGAATCCTTATCAGAGGTTGTAATGGGTTCTCCACTACTCATTTATTAACTTTGATCATGAAGATAGGATCTGTGTCTAATCAGCCAGCTCTGGCTCATACAGGAATTCAGGGCAATCCTGCAGCCATGAAGACGGGAGTGACGTGGTGACGAGGGTCCTTTCTGCAAGAAACTTGAAGAAAGAAGAACTCCTTCCTCTTACCATCACCTCACAGCCCTGTGCTCGCCCTCTTTACCTGACAGCTGCTATTTCAATGGCTGCACAGACGGAAATGGTGAGTGACCTCAGCGACCGCGCCCAGGCCATCAGACCGAGGATGTGGGAGGGCTGAGGATGCTGAGGGAGCTCTGAGGAGCAGCAGGGCTGGGCTCCAGCACCCCTGCTGCAGAGCAGCGAGGCCGTGCCCGCCGGGGCAGGTCCAGGGCGCGGCTCTGCCGCCGCCCAGCACGTCACTTGAACACGGACGGAAACGTCGGGCAGTCGGGGGACTTCATCTTCTTCATGAACTTCTTGAACTCTTTGTTCTTCTTGTCCCACTTGTAGATAGCTGTCAACAGGTACTGAGTCTTCACCTGGCGGCCCATGATGAGGAAGTAGTGGCTGAGGTTGTCCAGCTGATGGCAGGGACAGTCTGCCCCGTTTTTTAGGAACAGCACCAGCTTCTTCAGGTTCTTCTTGCGGATGGGCCCCAGCTTCAGTGCCTTCCTCTTCCGTGGAATGATCATCTTGTCCCCGTTCTCCTTCTTCACTTCCTTGATGGTCATCTTAAGAGCTGCAAAACAAGATGGGAGGGGGGAAAACCAAACCTCCTGAGCAGCCTTCACTGGCACAAAGCCCCTGCTAAGTGAGGCTGAGGGAGCAGCAATGCCCTGTCCCACTGCAGACACACAGTGCCCTGCCCCACTCCTGCATCCCCCTTCTCCCTACTCTGCTCCTGAATCCTCCTGCTCCCTGGCATCACCCTGGCCATGCCACTCATAGCCTCGGGTGGAGCTGCCCCATACCCAGGAGAGCACCAAGGTAAAACACTGACATCTTTGTTCCCCTTCCTGCAGCAAAGCACCCAGAGCTTTCCATGAGAGAGGGGACTTGTTCAGCTGCCAAGCACAAATGTTAACTGAGTAAATTAGGTGACTTCCCTGCTCTAGAGGCATGGAGAGACTCTTGAAAGGATCATTTAAAAGGTCAATTTGGCTTTTCAAGCATTTGTTTGCAGTCACACCGGCCCTCGGGTGCCTGTGAAACAAGTTTGCAAGCACTGGATGTCCCTGAATCAGAGCTGTGGAGATCCCAGCATGCACTCATTCTTCCCTGGGACAAGGGAAGTTGGTCTGCTACGACTGCCATGGAAAATACTTTCCCCTCTTTGGGTTCAGCATTTTCCTGAGTTAATCACAATACCCCCCATTCCAAAAAAAAAGTTTTTTTTACAATGACCATGAAGAGGAATTTTGCATACATGGGAAAAATGATGAAAATGTGTTGTACATTAAAACATCATTTCAGTGCCATTTGGCTCTGCCTCATTTTGGGGGAAAAGCACATATGGACCAAAATTGCTAACATATTTTCATCATTTGGGAGTTTACTTCAGAGCTGCAGATAACTAGTGCTCAGAGAGGTGATTGGTTGGCTGCTGTCCCTTCTCATTAGAGTCTCAGGGCAGTTGCAGGCAGTCCACAAGAACCTCTGGCTCTGGCAGGGAGATGGGTCCTCACAGCATCATTCCTTGAAGTCCTGTTGTGCTGGAATGTGCAGCAGTGAACACGTGTTGCTTCCTGGACAGGAGCACTGCTCACTGTTCCAGACACAGCAGGACAGCACCATGACAATCCTGAGCAGGCAGCAGAGACTCAGTGTCACCCTCATGCTCCCAGCCACTACCCTGGCAACAGGGGCAATGGTGTTTGTCTGCCCCTGTGCCAAAAACATCCCTCAGGTCTGCCAAGAGCCCTGCCATGTTACACTGCTGTCGTATAAAAAAGTAATCTAGGACTGGAAACCTAAGTGAAATTTTCATTCCATCTGTTTTCCAAATTCAGGAGCTAAAGAAACTCAAGTTTTAAGGAGCTAAAGATGCTGAACCAGATCAGTTTGTAACAAATCTGAAAAATGAAGTCAGTAGTTTTCAAGCAGCTCTAAGTTCCATGACACCAACTGGGCAGCAGTAGCCCCCTCAAAATCAGCCTCACTTCCTTTACTCATGCTGACCAGAGCCCTTGCACTAAGCACAGAGGTGGCCAGGGCAGGAGGGATGCTAAAACACCATTACAACAACACAATAAGAGACTTCTGCAAAATGCTTTGCTGAGATCACTGCAAAATTTGATCCTTTCTGCCAGAGGAAGAGAAGGATCTGCCAGCTAGTGGAGGTGCTGATCTACTCCAAGTATGATCCAGCATGGAAGACAAAGAAGGCCTGGTAACCCTGCTCTGTGGGAGCTCACAGCTGCTCCCTCCCCTGCACACAGCAGCTTGTGAGCCAGCAATGCAGGTTCATGGGAGCTGCCCAGGGGAGCCACAAATCCAGATGCAAACCAAACCCTCATCCAAACCTCGCTCGTGCAGAGCAGCACACAGAGCCAAGATGGGATAGCGCCAAGGGGGATGAAGGAGGAGGCTGACCAGGGGTGCAAATAGTTGTGTCAGGCTCTGTTCTTCCCAGCAGCAATGTCCTTGAGAGCAGCAAGAGCCTGAGGTGCTGCCCAGGTAAACACAGGCTCATGGACCAGCAAGCTTTACCTGCCTTGGGTGCTGCAGGCTGAGCAGTCACACAAGCATGATGATCTCTGCTCAGCCCCCATTCCTCTGGCTCCCCCAAACTCCCCTTGTTCACTTAATTGGGCCACATTCCCTAAGTCCCAACCCACACTCCAGGTGAGACTCCCAGGTGTGAAAGCTGGGTTCCATAGTGGCAGGCCAGACACAGCTTTGGCACATCCCAGGAATAGCAGAAAAGGGGTGTCTGAGGGTACCCTCATTCCAGTGCTCATCCCACCACGCAGTGGGAGGCAGTCTCCAGCTTCTGGCTTTCCCAGAACATGGCACTTGAAGGGGGTGCTGCAGCAGCTTTCCTGGTGAATCCCCAGCCCTGGGAATGCTGCTGCAGCAGGCAAAAGGCTGGAGCAGGATGCTTTGAGTCTTGGCTCCAGGGGTCAGGGGAGCTGCCAAAGCACACAGCTTCCTCACTGGGAACCTTGGCTTTTCCACTCCCCCCATGCCACACCAAACCTGTCTCAGCACCAAGAGAAGGGCCAGAATCACCCCTGAGAGCCCAGGACACCCTTGCTCAGACAGACTCAATCCTCAGCTGTGGCTGCCAGGCAGGAGCTGACCCCAGGACAGTCACCCACAGCAGGAGCAAGTGCCACCTTTCCAGCCCAGCAGCTGCCCTGTGACCACAGGCTGCTTCAGCACCAGCTGTGGCACTGCTGGCAGCACCAGCCCCTGCCACTTTGCATGCCACAGCAGCCCCAGAGGGCTGCAGGACTGACATGCCACCCACAAGCCCTTCTCACCATTTACTTTCATTGGACACAAAAACATTCCAGCACAACCTTCTCCAAGGACAGCACTGTACTGGGGTAGTCACCAGCTGAGGGCAGAGCCCTGTGCCCTGCTCACAAACCACTACCACGCATCATTCCTGCTCCCCACTGGCACCTCCACCCCTTTTTCAGGACTAGGATGCTGTCTCTGCTGTTCTCCTGCACAGGCAGGGGCCCCACTCCAGCACCTCATGTGCAGGAAAGGGAATGTGAGAGAAGGGAAAGCTCCACTGTTCCTTCAGCCTCATTTTTCCTTCCTTTAGCAATCACTGAGAAGGAAGAAACCTGCCAGAAGACACATTAGGGCTGTAACAGGAGAAGGCTGCAGGCAAGGACCTGTCAGTCACAGAGAAAAAATAAACAGCATGTATTGATTGTTCTGCAGTCCCCAGTGCCACAGAGCCTGTTCAGCAGGATCCCCCAGACCCCGGAGAAAGGGCAGAAACAATAAATAAAATCACTAAGAGAAACAGAGCGTGGAATGAACTCCTGGAGTAAGAAACAAGCGCTGGCTGCAGCCCAGGGCAGCTGGGGGAGGCGGCTCTGGGGGCACTGGAGGCTGATCTCGTGCTTCCTCTTGCTGCCATTGCTCCCTCAGCACACCAGCACTACCCTAAATCTACACTGCAGTTATCCCCACGGGCCTGATCCAGCCCCCTGTGCTGCTCTGTGCTCAGGCCAGGGTGCTGGCACCCCTCACTGACATCCACCCCAAAGCTGCCCTAAAAGCTGCATCCTGGAGCCCACATTGATCCCTGCTCAAACAAAGGCAAACCCAGAGCTGAGATGGACCACAAGGCTGGCAGTCTCCTGCCCCCAGCATCTTGTCCAAGATCCTCTCCTGCCTTGTCTTCACAGTTTGTGTTCACAGCTCACTGCAGCTCTCTTCCTGCACTGTGCTCTAGGCCAACAACACCAGGGCTGCTCCACAGCCACTTCCTAACTGGCACAGCCACACATCTGTGGGGGGCAAAGTGGTCCTCACCTCTCTTCTGTACCAAGCTGCTGGGATGTAAGAGAAAACTACACAGTGGGAATAAGTGCAAGACCTACCAACAGCTGCCCCATGCAGCACATGCTAGTTTAAACATTTATTGTACATGTCTGGCTTTGATGAGGCTCTGTAACCTGTCAGCTGCCAGTGTTTACCTTGGTGGACGTGCATGAGAAACCTCAGTCTGAAGGTTTGGGAGTTTATAATAGTGCCAGATAAACAGCTTTCCTTGAGAAATCACCCCATGACAGTAACCCCCCAAGACTAAACAAAGATCCAAGGACCATACACTGTGCTTTGGGAAAACTTCCTGAAGGTGATGCCTCCTCCACTAGCCACTCCCTCTGCTGAGACAGATGGATCCTTCCCATCCTGCACTGCCTTCCCTCACAGGGCACAGGCAGGATCTTTATTGCATCCTATCCCCTGTTCCTGCTCCCCAGCTGGCTACAGATGGGCCACATCTGCCAGGAAATAATTCCATCCTTTGGACACTGTCACCACTGTCTTTCCCAGTAGTAACACTGTGGGTAAGTCACTGTCCCAAGGCAGGGAATTCCTCTGCTTTGGCCTCTGCTCCCTGCTGTATAACTGTCCAGAGCACGGGAGGATATTCAGCAGCAGAAGCTGATGACAAGCAGGCAGCTGAGTTTGTATTTCCCTTCCCAGCACTCTCCTACCAGCAGGACACCCCCTCAGCTCACTCCCTGCACACCTCTGGCAAGGGGACAGTGACCCACCAGCACCAGATCTCCCCTGCTGCCACTGGCCAGTGCCCCTCACTCCCTCTCTGGGATGAAAGCCCCAGCCCCTGGCTCAGAACAGAGCTCTGAGCACCCAGCTCTGAGCACTCAGCACCTCCCACTCCCCAGCCAGGCCAAGCACTGAATGTCTGCTTCCATTCCCCAGCCAAGCCAGAAGTATGCACATTCCTGGGAAACTATTACATGGGTGTTCCTCTTGGTGCTTTTCCCTGTTGGAAAAAGGCTGTGCTGAACTTAAAGACTTCTGGCATACCAAATCTGCAGGACAGTTGAGAATTCATTTCCAGCAGAAAGGGTAGCACACCAGCATGCAGAGCAGGTTTGGGTTTGCATAAGCACGCTCCAGTACAGGGCACATTCAAGTGCTAATCCCCCAGGAATGCACACCTTGTTCAATATGCCTTTAATAATCTTCCAGGAAAGTTACACACACCAGCAAGGATGTCAAAACCACTTAATTCTGGGTTTGATATGAGAAAGCTAATATATTTCCTTGTGATAATCTTTTTTTCTAACTGAAGTTCAGTTTACCACTGATTGTCTCACTCACTCACTCATTTAGGACAAAGCCTTCGAGTAGCTTTGCATTTTTTACCAAGGTCCACCTCTGCATGCCCACAGTGACATCTAGAGGCACACGTGCCCAGCCTTGGGGACAGACTGCAGGACACAGCAGCACCACCACGGGCAGGGAAATGTGGCAGCTCCAGTCTAGGCACAGAGGGGTCACGCTGCCCCCGACCAGCTGGGAAGCCTCCCCGTGCCTGGAGTGCTCCTTCTTACCAAACTCGCTGGCACACAGGTGCTCCACAATGGCCTCTGACTTCATCTCATTGTCACACGGGGGACACACGGTCGTTCCTGGCAACAGAAAAGAAATGAAGACAGTTGAGAGGTGGTGAGAAGCCAGCAGAAGCAGCACAGAGCCAGACTGCCCACGCTGTCAGTGTCACCCTCGAGGGGGGATCCATGTCCATGCACCCTGTCACAGCTCCCAGGAGTGTGGGACAACACCCTTGCTGTCAGTGTCACCCTCGAGGGGGACCCATACACCCTGTCACAGCTCCCAGGAGTGTGGGACAACACCCTGCTGGGTGTAAGGAACCATCCACCACCTTACAGGGCAGCACTGGCCACAGGCAGCCCCACTCCAATGCTGTCAGTGGCCCCAAGGCCAGGCACAGGCAGCTGCTAAGAGCAAAAGGACAGCACTGGCAAAGGAAGGAGTTGTCAGGGCCAGGGACTCAGCTGAGGGAAGACGCCTGCCAAGGGGCACGGCCCATAGCCTGCTGACATTGCCTCCTCACTGCATGCCAAGGCAGGCACACAATGCCCAAACCCCAGCACAGCAGGAGGATGCTGCCCAGAGATGGCACAAGTGCCAAGGTGCCACCCTGGTGCCAGGCAAGGGGTTCAGGACCAGGACAGCCCAGTTCAGCTGAGTGTTCCCCTCAGCACTGGGGACCACGCCACAGACTGCCCAGGCAGGGCTCAGGGAGCCTCTGGCTCCCCTCCCTCCTGCTTTGTGCCAGAGCAGCACTGGTTGGGAGTGGAGCAGCACAGCTCTTGTGGATGCTGCCACCACCAAGAGTGGTCACCCTCTCTTTTGTTTTGAGCCCAGGGCAGCCTCATGGCTCCAGCAGAGCAGAGTCACCTCTGCTGGCCGTGGTCAACATCTGCCTCCTGGGAAATGCCAGCCCAGGGGATTTCACTGGGATCTGTCCTGGGAGGAAATCTCACTTCACCAGAGAATAAGAATCTGTTTCCAAGTCCCCATCTGCAGTTGGAGCAGACCACCCAGCGGCACAGACGTAGACTTGAGCTACTGGCAGATGAATTTATTGAGCTGGGAGATGCTGCTTGTTCCTGGTCCAGCAAGACGGAGGGCTCTTCCCACACAAGGGAGTTATTCTCAGGGACAACACTGCAGCAAAACATCTGCCAGTCCCTGCATGTAAACAGAGCACTCATGGCCTTCCAGCCCTCAGCCAGGCCAGCAAATCCACAGTATAGCTGGACAGAAAAAGCAGAGAGGTGTCTCAGAACGAGGGGTGCAGAGCCAGCACAGCTGGTGAGGGAGGCACAGCCACGACCATAGTGTCATGTCTCCCCAGCCACAGATGCCCCATGGGGATTCAGGCCAGACATTCATTTTCTGTGGCTTGTTCTTCCCCTGTTGCCACCCCCAAATCCCTTCTGTGCCAAACGCTGATTCCTGGGGACGTGCACCATGACTTTATTAATCACACATGCAGAGCAACTGGCCTTCTGCTCGCTCCTGTGTGCAAGTCACAAGTCAGCCCTCACAGCACCAACATCCACCTCCAGAGCCCCACACTCTCTGTACTTCTGTCCATCACCTCTTCTTCCAGAACCCTAACACGCAATGCCACTATCACCATCTCACTCAGTGACACAGGCAGAAGCCAGCCTTTGGAGACATGATGACATCCATAGCTACAATATTTCTTTCCTGGCTGCACATTTACTGTGCTCATGGCCTTCTTATTCTCGTAGGAAGGTGACACAGGCCCAGCCCTCCATCTGCTGCAGAGCCAGGAGTACATCACTGTGCTGGGCACCACTGTCAGGAACAAGCAGGGGTACCTGCCATGCCAAGCACTTCAATCTGCCTCAGCAGCCAAAGTGCACACGAGGAGGCTGGCCAAGCCAAGCCTACACCAGCCAGACAAACATGAAAGCCACCACTGCATCCACTCTGTGAGTTTTCCAGCCAATCAATTAAAATAGAAAAAAAAAAAAGCAAACAAAAATGGAAAACAAGACTCATTGTTCCCTGGTGCAAATACAGGCTTTGTTCTAGCTGTGCTCCAGCAGCCCCACAGGAGGCTGTAACACACCCAAGGTGGCAGAGACCCCTGCCTTGCTGCCCAGAGCCAACAGCCAGCCTGAGGGCTGGACCTGGGAGCCCCTGGATAGCCCCTTCCACAGGCAGCAGCCTCACTTACACACAGTCCCCCTGCCCTAATCAATAACCTTGATCAGGTTGCTCAGAGTCCCACCAAACCTGACCATGAACATTTCCAAGGACGGGGCACCCACCATGTTTGTAGATAATCTGTGCCGGTGTTTTACAACCCTCACTGTAAAAACTTCCTCCTTATATCCAGTGTAAATCAGCCCATCCTCCACTCCTGCCTCCTGCAGCCCTTTCACAGCTACTGGAGACACTGTCCCCTGTCAATGGGAAGAAAAATTGTCCTCTGCTCTGGATCACCACATCACACTTCAGTCAGGAACACAAATGGGGCCCAGCCAGCTCCTGCACAGCTCTGTGCCCCAGGAAAACTGCTGTTCTGTGGAGCCACAGCTCCCCCAAAACTGCAATCCAAAGACTGCTGAGGCACTAGAGCAGACATCCCCAGCCCACCCTGGGGGCCCACTGCAGGCTGGCTGGGGCCCATCTGCTGCAGCTGACAGCTCAGCTCCAAGCACAATCTCAGCCTGCCTCCAGCTCACTTGTTCCCTGCTGACCATTTTCCAATGCCTGGCTGCAGAGCCAGCTTACTCCAGGGGCAAGAGAAGGAATGTGTAATGCTGTATTAATCTGCAACTCCCCTGATGCATCCTGTGGGCCTGCAGGCTTTACTGCCTGTGCTTAAGGAGAAAGGAATTCAGCAGGTCAGCTCTTTGAGAGGCAGAAACAAATTCCAATTTCAAGGTGTTAATGGGGGAAAAAAACTGAAAGGGTTTGTTCTTATTAGTACCAGGAGAAAAGGGGGGACACTGCTTGGTTCTGACCCTCTTTGAATCAACAGGAAACACAACCAAGAGCAAAGGGACTCCAGGGGCTGGTGCTGACAGAAAACACAGACAAACCATGGACAGGGTGCACAACCCAGGCAGACAAGTACCCAGCCAGCACAGGGACAAGGACAGAGCTGCAGGTCACCCAGGATGACTCGACATCTGCAGGAGGCGGCAGTACCAGAGCTGAAGCAATGCCAGTGCCTCATGGGCCACTAACAGAGCCTCTGTGGCATGCAGGACATCAGCAGTGCTGGCCACACCACACCAGTGGCTGCAATTCACTTGGAGTTTGCTTTTTTTTCACTCCAAACTGTTTGAGGCACCACAAGAAAGCAGCAGTGTCCCACCCTACTGCTGCCTTCAAGACAGGTCCAAAAGGTGAAGAGAAAGTCGTTAAACTGCTCAGTGGAAAACCTGGCAGATGCTGCTCATTTAGAAGACTGTTCCTAAGTCCTGGCTCATTAATGTCTGTAAAATGAATGATCTGCACACAGCTCAGACTCTGTTTCAGAGCCTGGAAGGGGCAGCTCAGACCCAGCTGTCCCAGGAGCAAGCTTGGCTGCAAGTCCCTGGGGAAATAAAAGCAACCTTTGTACCTGCAACACGGAACACGGCCGCGGTCTTGACCAAGGGTCCAGGTTCACATAAGACATATTAAATTAGAGCATTCCTGGAAAACAACAAGGTTTCTCCAGCAGTCACATCAGGAAGGGCAAGCCATGACAAGGAGGACAGTATGGCTGTGCTGCCATCCCTGCAGGGAGAGGCTGGTCCCTGGCAAGGGGATCAGCCAGAGCTCAGGCTCCCAGTTCCCCCTGGCACTGGAACAAACTTCACATTCTGGATGTCACCGAGATGTGACATGGGATCCTGAGTACAGCTCCTCTGGGTACTGAGCCTGGGTGTCCCCTGTGCCTGCCATGCCACAGTCACCGTGCCACTGCTCTGCACTGTCCCCACACAGCTCCTGAGAGCCCTCAGTGCAGGATGCACTCTGCTCCTGTCCTCTATCAGAGGGGCTCTCTGAAGTATGAGTCCTTTCAAATGGGCAGGATGACACTGCACAGTCCCCACAGGCTGGGTTACCCCTCCCAGTCGAGCACCACATACAGCTTTTGTCCGTACAGGTAACTGCAAAGGGCAGACGTCCCTGCAGACGAGCTCTGACACAACACAGAAGCCACAAAAACCACTCAGCCCCCTCCCCTCCGAGCACTGGCACTACGCCCCCGTGGAATCAGGAGTGACAATTCCCTTCAATGATGACCTGCTGCCCAAAAAGCTCTCTTAGAGTCCCCTGCCATCTCCCTCTACAAACACTCCTCCTGCCAGCCTTCCACAGTGCTCCAATAGCAAACACCGAAGTGACACCAGGGTATTTATTTATTTTCAAGTTTCCAGCAACAAGCTGCACTCACTGCAACTTGAACAAGCCAGTCTGGCACCACAGAAACGTGCTGCATGCAATGGAAACAAACACGAACCACATTCACTTTCCCTAGTTGTTTCTGGGCAGGTTCCTTGCTCCCTTCTCCAGCCCACAGCCCACCTGAGGGCAAGGCTGGATCTCCACTGCACGACCAGCCACCAGCTGCCCAGCCTCTTGTTCTAGGACTGCACTGGACATGGGGGACCCAGCCAGTACTGCCGTCACTGCTGGTTCCAGCCAGCCAGCACTTTCTGCTGTGGAGACCACACAAATCCTGCTGCCCAGGGCAGCCCTGCAGGAGTCTGGCTGGGGAGCAGAACCAGGTCAGTGCAGTATCTGAGGACAGAGGGTCACGCCTTGGTCCATCAGGGCTGGAGCCCAGCCCCAGTGCATGTGCAGGGGTCAGAACAGGCACAACCCCACCGTGCTCCAAGCCTGTCCCAAGGCTCCGGGATAGGGATGAGGAGCTGGCAGGGCATCCCACCTTCTTTGGGACAGGAAACACAGACACTTGAACTCTTCCTGCTGCCAAGAAGAGTTCAGGTGAGCCTCCTCCTGCCACAAGAACCCCTTCAGTCCCCTCCTGGGCCAGCACCTGCCCTGTCAGCTCAGGGAGGAGTGCCAGCAGCAAGGCTGCAGCACGCCTTACCTTTGGGCCTGGAGACCTCGGTGGCATTGGGAGCTGTCATGGCAATGCAGACGTCATCCTGGGGAAACTGGTCACACTTGAGCATCTCTGGCCAGAAGAAGCCAAAGAACTGCATGACAGGCTCGCAGGAGTCGCGCACGGCCTCGCAGAGCCAGCGGCAGGGGTAGACGGGCCGGTCCAGGCAGACGGGGGCAAAGAGGGAGCAGAGGAACACCTGGGTGCCCATGTGGCAATTCTTGTTGAGCAGCGGCACCCAGCTGCTCGCCTGGTGCTTCACCTCGGCCATGGTCTCGTGGTCCAGCAGGTTGGGCAGCACCATCTTGTCGTAGCCCACGCTGTGGCAAAGCCGCAGGTCGGCGGGGATGGCCACGCACTGGTGGGGTTTGGCGTAGAAGCGCCCGCCAGGGTAAGGGCCCAGGTCTGACTGGTAGCTGACATAGTCGTACTCGCTGGCCACGCCGCAGGCCAGCAGCCCGGCGGCCACCGACAGCAAGGCACGCAGGGCGGCCCCGCCGGGCCCCCTCACGCTGCCCATCGCCGCCCCCCGCCGACGGCGGCCCCGACAGCACCGAGGGCCTGCCCGGCCCGGCCCGGCTCGGCCCGGCTCGGCCCAGCGCTACCTGCACCGGTTGAAGGCCTGCCCGGCCCGGTTCCGCTCGGCTCGGCACGGCTCGGCCCCAACTGCAGCGGCTGAGGGCCCGCTCGGCGTGGAGCCGGGGCAGCTCGGGGGTACCCAGAGACCACCCCCCCCCGGAGCACCGCGGCCCGAACCCCCCGGGGCCGTTCCCGGTCTCCGAAGCCGGGCTGGCCCGGGATGTCCCGGCGCTCCTGTTCAAAGTTGCAGATATTTCTGTGAGCCTGTACTGGACCTGTGCGGAACTCATTTCCTAGTTGGCAAATTCCAACAGAAACCATGATATTGAAAGAAAGAAAGGGAAAAAAAAAAAAAAAAAAACCAGGAGAAGGGTCCTGATCTGTAAAGGGCACCCTGCTCCAGATGTGCCGGAGGAGCAGGAGCTGCATTCCCCGTTCCTCCAGCAGCAGCGGCCCCTCGGCACCCTTACCTTGCTGGCAGGAGCTGGGTGCGCGGAGGATGGAGCCGGGCGCTGCCCGGGTGCCCGCACGGCTCCCGCGGCTGCCTCGGGGCAGAGCAGGGTGCCCCTGGTGCAGGCCAGGCAGGAGAGGCTCTCTCGGTGCTTGTGCACATCTGGCCATGGAGCAGCTCTGCCCCGGAGTGCCTGCAGGGCACTGAGCTCGCTCGGTCCGGAATCCTCCAAGGCTCCCCTGCCTGCTGCTGGAACAACTTGTACCACTTACAACAGGAACTACACCTCATTGAGAGGCAAATGGAAGAGGCTCTGCAGCCTGGAAGCCTGAAAGAGGCACTTTCACCTGAGGGCCAGCAGAACAGAGCAGCCAGTTAGCGCCACTAATGAAGTGAAGAATTTAGCGGTAAACAGGGGACCCGGAGCAAAAGAGGCAGCTGGATGGAGACTTGGGCTCAGGAAATGATGGCAAAGCACTGATCACTGCTTGTACCAAGAAACAGCTGCAAAATGGATTTCTCGTTCCTTGAGAAATTCTGACAGTATAGAATCTGCTTTTACCAAAACTAGTTTAGAAACGCTGAAACAGCTCATTTTGAGGATTTAGAAAATAGTGCTGTGTCCCACTTTTTTGTGCAATGTGAAACAGGGCACTGATCTGCTGAAGGATTTATCCAGACATCCTGATTTGCACCCAGGTGTTACATCCACGGGCACAAGTCTCTGGTTGGGAACCAAACTGTGCCAGTGCCTCTTCATCTGCCATAGCAAGATCATAGAAAGTCTCAGAGCCTCTCTGTTTGCAGAGCAGCAATGGGGGTGTTTGACTTTGGCACTGCTCTGATCCTTCTGTTCCAGCATGAGGCATGCAACAGGAATATCACAGGCAGGCACGGTGGATCTTGGGAAGCTCTTGTTCAAAAGTTGGAGAGCTCTCCAAAGGAAACAGCAGTAACACTGCAACAAAACAACAATCAGGGTTCCAGTCATGTGCAGGTCAGCGTTTACCACATGGCACCAGGAAAAGTCCTGTCAGGGTCACCCCAGGGACATGTGTCCTGGAGCATCCCACACTGATTTGTGGGTGGCACTGCAGCCCTGACAGCTGAGCAGTAGCTGCTGAGCCTGCCACAGTTCACAGCTCTCGAGCCAAGCTACAGTTCAGCATGCCTTGGCTGCTAAATCTGACCACATGCATGGTCTGGACAGTTCCTGAACTTGGCTCAGGGAAGGACTTTGCTGGCTCCCTTCTCTCTCCTGTGGCTGACATCCACATTCATGACAACAGAGCCTGAATGGGAAATCAAGAGTAAATTTTAAACTGAAATACAATTGACCAGCAAATACAATTGCTGGCAAACCATTTTTTATTTAAAAAAAGAATATAAGAAACCAGGGAGAATGAGGAAAAAACCTAAACCAAATGAAAATGCCAACTCTGGTCTAGGCCAATAAATTGCTTAATACATGATATAAGACCTCTTAGAAAGCAGCTGCCCATGAAGGGCTGCTCTTCCAACACATCTCTTCCAGACTGCACAGGAACTTTTCTGAGTGAAGCCTGTGCAGCCATTTCCCTTCATAATTATGTAGCCCACTGCTCCTTAAATCTCTGCCTTGTCTCTAATGTCATAGCCATTTATTGCTGCCTTTCCCACAGGGGCTAACATTTTCTTACTGAATAACGAGGCGCTTTGCACCACACACCATTCTGGCTGTCCCAAGACCTCTCCTGCCCCGTGAAAAGCCCAGCCCAATTAACCGTGCCTATTTCTGGCTCCATTGTTCATCCCAGCAGCCTGCAGGACCAGGCACTCTGCCCTCATCTACAGCTCTGCATCCCACCCTGCTCCACGTGTGTGCTGGGTGGTGACAGGGCAGGTGGCAGGGGACACGTCCCCGTGCTGCTGGCAGAGGTTCTCCCACCTGTCCCACCCTCCCTGCCCACACTGGGCACACTCTGCCCTGGCCACCTGGTGCTGGAATGCGCCTTTCCCTGCATGCTGCCCTGGGGAAACAGGCAGGCATGGGATAATAGAATATATTAGCCCCGAGTCCATTCAGGCCCTGGCTCTTTATGAACAAAGCCTGCTAACTGAGCTGATTTTTGCCAAATGACTGGCTTTCGTGCATGAGCAGCAAAGTGGAGCCCCCAAAGACTCCCATGCAACAAGCGCTCATTGCCCAGGGCTCATTGTTTTACGCCTGCACTTGAGGGCATGGAGGAGTCACGGCCTTGCCTGCCCTGGCATTTCTTCTCCAGTTTCCCACCACTGCATTAGCCCCATCTCAGCCCCAGCAGAGGCAGCAGTGACGGGGGAGATGAACAAACCCAGGGCCAGGATCGCCACAGTCCCTGTCCCAAGGCTCACACTGTCCCTTGGTGCCCCTCTCTGGGGGCAGATGGGATGCACCAGCAGAGGCAGCCCACCTACCCTGTCCCTACCTGGAGTGCCCACCATGCCACCCCTGCAGCAGGACAGCTCCTGGACACCCCCAGGGAATATTTGCTTCAGGTTAGACCACCCTCAGCCCACCGAGAGCTGATAGCTCCTGCCAGGGTCAGTGCCCGAGCAGGATGTTGGTTTTGCCATGGTTGTTTTCTGTTTTTTTCAGCAGATTGCTCCAAGACTCCAGTAACACTGATGCAGCCAGGAGCACTCCTTCACCCCATGATAAGGGAATCTGCACAGGGAGTTTTTGCAGCTGTCTGATGCCTCAGCCAGGTGCCCAGTGCCCCTGGGGCTGCAGGAGACACCTTCACCAAAAGCTGGGCCAGGATCAAGGCACGCAACAATTGCAGCTGATGTCTCCTGTTTGTGTGAAATTAGCACCAATAAATGCTATAACTATACGTGACCAACAACAGATTTACTAGCTAACATATAAAGGACTACAAGAGCTAATGCCTTCAGCACTGGTGAAACTCTTGACCGTCTGCCCCTAGTCCCAGGAGGGAACCGATGGCAAATGTTTACAGGGGCTTATAAATATTTATCCTATAATAACTTGCTGCATTACAGCACATTCTTCTCCACAAGGCTCAGCTTTGCCCTGGACCAGGTGCAGGCTGCTGAGAGGGTCTGTGGCACATATAAAGTTTGCCTGAATAACATAGAGCAAGTGCTGGTGTTCAATAAAACAGCAGCAGCCAAGCTGCACGCGTGAAAGGCACTGCAAGTCATTCCTTACCCAACAAAAGAAAAATGTGGCTGGGGAGCACAGGTGTGCAGGCACGTTTGTGTGGGTGCACACCCCTTCTGGGTTGCCAGAGTAACCTGGGGAAGTGCTGGAAGTCACTGGGGAGGTATAAATCACACTGCTGGGCTGGCCTGATGGAAGGCTCAGCCCAAAAGTGGCCCTGTGCTCCCTGAGAGCATGGGGACCCTCAGCTGCTTTTGTGAGGACCCCAAAGGAAGGGAACAGGAGACCAGCCCACCATGAGGAAACATCTCCTCATGCTTCTTGCTCTTCAGCAATCCTATCTGCCCGCTTCCCTCTAATTTTTTTTTGAGCCATTTGTCCACTTATTTATTTATCCTTCTCATGCTAAATGATTTGCAAGATCATAAGATACCTGTGGTTTGGAAACGATGTGGCAGTCTCCAGGCTGGACCAGAGATGGAGTTCAGAACTACTTTCTAACAGGAGTAAATAAGCAGATTGGAAAGGCTCCATTGTGTATATTCTAGGTTGCTATTTTCTTAACCCTGTCTCATTAAGATGGATGGAGTTTCTGCTTATTAGTAATTTGGCAAGTTCCTCTTTGTGTACACTCTGCACTTCTCACTAATGACGCTGTGCTTCAGTGATTAACAAAAGAGACTTCCAGCATAGTCAGTGAAAACACAGCCACGCACTTGGGGCACTGGGACGGAAACCCAACGTTCTGGAGATGCCCTCTGGGGAAGACTGCAGGGAACCCAGCAAAGGAGAAGCTGCTGGCCATGAAACCTTTCATGTCACTCCAATAATTCTGACCTGAGGACATTGGTTCTTTGATTTACATGCATAATTGCAGAGCTGACAGAGCCTGCAACAAAGTGATTCACAGCCCTTCCTGTGCTGTTCTTAAGACACATCTGATGGAGATGAAGCTGGCCCTGCTACTGCCTGGATTTACAGCTGGCCATTAAAGTATGTTTACAAGTCTTTAGTACAGTGTACACATCTGGTAAATCATTGACTGAACAAACAGCTCCTCCTGCCATGCTCCCTCTCTCAACTTTTCCTCCTGCTCTGGTACTCAGCCTGGAGCCTGTGTGCAGAGGTGGTGGCCAGCTGATGCAGGTGTGCATGTGGCACACACACAGATCTGCACCTGCACATGCAGCACTGACATCTAGATGCTGTTGGACACACAAGAAGCCCCAGGCAGATCCTCAGCATCAAGGCCAGCTGATCTGACCTTACCTATGTGCAGTGAAAGGCATTCTTGTGGCCTGGCATGGGCCACAAGCAGCTCCTCAGCGCTGACCAGAGCCCTGGCTGCCTGCAGGCTGGGTCCCCCCAGCACCAAGGGCTCTCACCAAGAGGGGAAAGGCAGGGCTGGCAGGGCTTGGGTTTGCTGCACAGGTACGGGGAAAGAAAAGCAGAATGGAAACAAGGCACAGCTCCAAGTACACAAAAAACAACAGCCCTTTTCCCTGGCACCAGGGAGCATGGAACACAGCCCACACGACGGACTGCACTGGAGCCTTCCCTGCAGCAGGGAAAAAAAAAAATGGTGGGGATTGGTGTTCTACCAAGCATGGCAGTGGCTGGGGTGAGGAGCAGCAGGAGCTGCGGGCCCCACCATGGCTCATTGTGCCATGCACAATAAGCATCTGGGCAGCTGTGCAGTCATCTGTGGCCAGACCCTTGCTCCTGTGGCCACAGAGCTGGGCAAAGGCCAAAGGGTAAAGGGCAAAGCACGGGAGCAGAAACAAAGCTAGATCAGCTCATTCATGCAAAGCTTTTCAGGAGCTGTTGGTGGCAGGATGACCAGCTGTAGGAGTGCAGGACTGTGTGTGAATTGCTGTCTGGAAACACAGGCTGCCAGGCCCCGTGCAGTCACCTGACAGTGGCTGAAAAGGTGCAGGACCCTGGAGGCTTAATTAGAAGGGATCATCACACAGGGATCATCAAAGTCCAACTCCTGGCCCTTGCTCATGTGTCTGAGGATCCCACCCTGTGCCTGAGAGCCTTGTCCAAACACTTGAGCTCTGGCAGGCTTGGGGCTGTGACCACTGCTCTGTGACCACTGCTCTGAGCAGCCTCTGGGGGAAGAACTTACCCCACTTGTCACTGTCACCCCCTCACCACCAGGTACAGCATCCACCTATGCTCAAATTCTACTGTAGTATCCTCAAAGTTAAGGTCTCATTTAAGTGCTTTTCTGAATAAAAACTTGTTGAAAAACTTAAGAGAAAGGCAAGGCAAGTCCTGCTCTCCCTCCTCTTTTTAACAGTGAAAAAATGGGGTGGCTTTGCCCCAAGACAGCTTTGCCTTGGGATGGAAAGAGAGGAGCCTGGGCACCCTCCTTCCATCCCCACATCCAGCTGCCAGTGCTGGCTTCTGAGGTAGACTTTGACTTAAGGGTGATTCCCTGGGGGACACCATGCTGCCTCTCAGGGTTTTAATGGACTGGCAGGGTGTCTGGGAAGGAGGAGAGGGAAACAGAATTTTCCTTTCTCCATAAATAATCTTATGAAAGCTTTTAAAAGAGATTTAAAGAAGAATCTCTTTCCTCCCTTCCCCCTTTCTCAATTGTACTGTGCATTTTAAACTGTTTGTGGAAGGGAATTAATTAGTGCAGGCAGCAGAGCCCAAAGCTCTGCAGCAGCCCCTCTTCTGCACAATGGAGATCCAATGCTTTCTCCCCTGCCTGGGAAACACATGCCCAAAATCCAAGTACATACATTTTTTTCTAACCTAATTCATTTTGTAGATTGATGGAGAAAATCCATAGCAAATATTTATGACTTTGCAATAAATAACCCTCACAGAAGTTACAAAAGAGTTCTGGCGAGTCTCAAGGTAACTTTCAGCGAATTCCAGGGGTCAGGGCAGACTGGGATACTGAGCCCATAGTGCTCGAGCCTTTGGCTCATCTGTTTTGAATTATTGGTATTACTCAGTGCAGCATTGCTCTCAATGGAGTAGCTGTGCTGTGATTCCATGCCATATTTTATTTCTGTGGCAGGAGAGAAGCTGCAATAACTATTAGCTGTACTCTGGTGTAGCCTGCAAAAAAAAAACCCCAGGCCCTGGTGGGGTGGGGCTGCTCCTGCTGGCATTTGCAGGCTGGCAAGGGAAGGTGCCAGTGCCCAAGTGCCTGGCACAGCAATCAGGGCCAGACACGGTGCTTTTCCCTGCCAGCTCAGAGCACACACTGCTGAGGTGCTCACAGGGGTCTGGTGCTGCTTGAAAGGTGGGAGTGTCCCAACGTTCTGCTGAAGGCAGCTGCCAGTGCTCCCCGGAGCCAGCGAGGGGTGGTGGGTGCTGCTGGGGAGGCACAAACGTGTCCTGGGAGCCACAGACGTGTCCTGGGAGCCACACGGCCATCCTGGGAGCCACACATCCCTTCTGGGAGGCACAGAGCCATCCTGGGAGCCACAGACGTGTCCTGGGAGCCACACGGCCATCCGGGGAGCCACACATCCCTCTGGGAGGCACAGAGCCATCCTGGGAGCCACAGACGTGTCCTGGGAGCCACACGGCCATCCGGGGAGCCACACATCCCTCTGGGAGGCACAGAGCCATCCTGGGAGCCACAGACGTGTCCTGGGAGCCACACGGCCATCCTGGGAGCCACAGACGTGTCCTGGGAGCCACAAACGTGTCCTGGGAGCCACATGGCCATCTTGAGAGCTACACACCTATTCTGGGAGCCATACACCCATCTTGGGAGCCACACACCTGTTCTAGGAGCCATGTACCTGTCCTGAGAGCCACACATCCATCCTGGGAGCCACAAACATGTCCTGGGAGGCACACACCCATCCTGGGAGCCACAAACCCATCCTGAGAGCTGCCGTTCTGGGAGCCATAAACCCATCCTGACAGCCACACACCTTTCCTGAGAGCCACACACCTTTCCTGAGAGCTGCACACCCATCTTGGGAGCCACACACCCATCCTGGGAGCCATAAACCCATCCTGAGAGCTGCACACCTTTCCTGACAGCCACACACCCCTTCTGGGAGCCACACATCCATCCTGGGAGCCACAAACATGTCCTGGGAGGCACACACCCATCCTGGGAGCCACAAACCCATCCTGAGAGCTGCACACCCGTCTTGGGAGCCGCACACCTTTCCTGACAGCCACACACCCATCTTGGGAGCCACACACCCCTTTTAGGAGCCATGTACCCATCCTGGGAGCCACACACCCCTTCTGGGAGCCACACACCCATCCTGAGAGCCACACACCCGTCCTGGGAGCCAGGACTCCCCACTCCGTGCTCGTTAGCTCCTAATCAGCCCAGCGGAAGGAGCAGCAGCCAGCAGCCCCACGCTGCTCTGCCGGGCGTGGGCTCCTTTCAGGGCTTTCAGAAAACAGGGTCAGACGTGTCTTCTGACCTGTGACCCGGCGCTTCCCTCCTCGCCATAATTATCTAATACAGCGCTCTCCCTGCCAAGTACAATGAAACAATTTGTCACTTCAATTGTCTGTCAGTCAACACTGGGGCCTTTTCAACAGGCCAACACATGTTTTTTGAGAGCTTGTCAGCAAGGGCTGTCTGGCCAGGCACATAAGCATGGAAAATGGAACCTTTGTTAATTCTGGTTCTTAGAAAAGTAAATCCATTCACTTAGGTTTTTTTCAGGCCTTCAGTTTGGAATTTGCACAAGAAGCTGAATTGCCCCTGATCCCTAAATGATTGGTCAGAGGATTTGCATGAGGAAGCAGAAATTAATTATTCTTTTCTTTTCTTTTTATTTTCTGTAATTGTGTGTTTAGAAATGAGATTACATTCTACAGTAGCACGAGGGGCTGAGGGGGGAATTGCTTTGCATTTGTTTAGCTCCTTAGAGTTAAGATCACCTAATCGTTTCAAGCATTTCCTAAGATTCCCTCTCTCTTTTTCTGCTTTAATGACCAAACAAAGATTGTGCTACTTCCCGGGGAACTTTTCTGGCAGCTGAGCTCAGCAGTGGGAGCCAGGGGCTTATCCCTCTGCCGAAATAGTCTTAGAATCACACAATCACCAAGGTTGGAAAAGACCTCTAGGATCACCGAGTCCAGCCATTAACTAACTCAGTGCTGCCGAGGTCTTCTTGCTGCTTTTGGTAGAGCTTCCTTCTGTTCTTTGGGTTTTTAAAATTGTTATTTTGAAAGCAGCACCCTCTGAAATTCTCACTTTCTCTTTTGATACACATACGAAATCCTGTTCCTCAATATTTACTACAAGATAGAGATCTCCATTTTGAGGTATTCATAATTTTCTTTGTCACATGGAAGTTTGTGTTCTGGAATGTTTTATTTGAGAGTATTACAGAAATGCTGGATGGCCCCTACTCAATTTCAAATGCCCTGAATAAAAACTTCTCCAGATCTGACTTTGCAGAATACCCCTGTCCCAACCTAATTCAAACCATACAGGGACCTCTGACTTAGAATCTTAGAATAAAATGACACAAATTGGCTTTGAGAGTATATCTCCCAATCTAAGCCACGTCTGTAAATTTGATTTGTCCTCTTACATCTCTACTGCATTAGGTGGCCTGAAAGACTTTGTTTCAAAGCTTTTGTCTCCTCTAAGAGCCACGAGTGTGTGCTTGGTCAGGCTGGAAAACACCGTGCCCATGAAGAGTCAGTGCCTGCTCAACACCTCGGATTTGCTCTCACAGCAGCAGAGGAACGACAGTTCTAATCACCTGAATATTTTCCCAGTAGTTAAACACTCCTAGAGAGCTTAACCTGTGCACTGGACTTGAGTTATTCAGAAAAGTCACAGATAAATATCCGGGACAGCGGCGGGGCCGGTGCCTGAGGGCACGGGCGGTACCAAGTACGGCCAGGGGGGAGCCGGACAGCGCCAGGCGCCGGTGCCCGCGGACCCTGGCACAACGCCGGGCTCTGGAACAGCGCCGGTGCCCACGGGCCACAGGATGGCGCAAGCCTCAGGGCAGCGGCGGACCCCGGGACAGCGCCGGTGCCCGCGGGCCCCGGGACAGCGGCGGGGCCGGTGTGGTACCACGGGCGGTACCAAGTAGGGCCGGGGGGGGGAGCCGGACAGCGCCCACGGACCCTGGCACAACGCCGGGCTCTGGAACAGCGCCGGTGCCCGCGGGCCCCGGGACAGCGGCGGGGCCGGTGTGGTACCACGGGCGGTACCAAGTAGGGCCGGGGGGGGGAGCCGGACAGCGCCCACGGACCCTGGCACAACGCCGGGCTCTGGAACAGCGCCGGTGCCCGCGGGCCCCGGGACAGCGGCGGGGCCGGTGTGGTACCACGGGCGGTACCAAGTAGGGCCGGGGGGGGGAGCCGGACAGCGCCCACGGACCCTGGCACAACGCCGGGCTCTGGAACAGCGCCGGTGCCCGCGGGCCCCGGGACAGCGGCGGGGCCGGTGTGGTACCACGGGCGGTACCAAGTAGGGCCGGGGGGGGGAGCCGGACAGCGCCCACGGACCCTGGCACAACGCCGGGCTCTGGAACAGCGCCGGTGCCCGCGGGCCCCGGGACAGCGGCGGGGCCGGTGTGGTACCACGGGCGGTACCAAGTAGGGCCGGGGGGGGGAGCCGGACAGCGCCCACGGACCCTGGCACAACGCCGGGCTCTGGAACAGCGCCGGTGCCCGCGGGCCCCGGGACAGCGGCGGGGCCGGTGTGGTACCACGGGCGGTACCAAGTAGGGCCGGGGGGGGGAGCCGGACAGCGCCCACGGACCCTGGCACAACGCCGGGCTCTGGAACAGCGCCGGTGCCCGCGGGCCCCGGGACAGCGGCGGGGCCGGTGTGGTACCACGGGCGGTACCAAGTAGGGCCGGGGGGGGGAGCCGGACAGCGCCCACGGACCCTGGCACAACGCCGGGCTCTGGAACAGCGCCGGTGCCCGCGGGCCCCGGGACAGCGGCGGGGCCGGTGTGGTACCACGGGCGGTACCAAGTAGGGCCGGGGGGGGGAGCCGGACAGCGCCCACGGACCCTGGCACAACGCCGGGCTCTGGAACAGCGCCGGTGCCCGCGGGCCCCGGGACAGCGGCGGGGCCGGTGTGGTACCACGGGCGGTACCAAGTAGGGCCGGGGGGGGGAGCCGGACAGCGCCCACGGACCCTGGCACAACGCCGGGCTCTGGAACAGCGCCGGTGCCCGCGGGCCCCGGGACAGCGGCGGGGCCGGTGTGGTACCACGGGCGGTACCAAGTAGGGCCGGGGGGGGGAGCCGGACAGCGCCCACGGACCCTGGCACAACGCCGGGCTCTGGAACAGCGCCGGTGCCCGCGGGCCCCGGGACAGCGGCGGGGCCGGTGTGGTACCACGGGCGGTACCAAGTAGGGCCGGGGGGGGGAGCCGGACAGCGCCCACGGACCCTGGCACAACGCCGGGCTCTGGAACAGCGCCGGTGCCCGCGGGCCCCGGGACAGCGGCGGGGCCGGTGTGGTACCACGGGCGGTACCAAGTAGGGCCGGGGGGGGGAGCCGGACAGCGCCCACGGACCCTGGCACAACGCCGGGCTCTGGAACAGCGCCGGTGCCCGCGGGCCCCGGGACAGCGGCGGGGCCGGTGTGGTACCACGGGCGGTACCAAGTAGGGCCGGGGGGGGGAGCCGGACAGCGCCCACGGACCCTGGCACAACGCCGGGCTCTGGAACAGCGCCGGTGCCCGCGGGCCCCGGGACAGCGGCGGGGCCGGTGTGGTACCACGGGCGGTACCAAGTAGGGCCGGGGGGGGGAGCCGGACAGCGCCCACGGACCCTGGCACAACGCCGGGCTCTGGAACAGCGCCGGTGCCCGCGGGCCCCGGGACAGCGGCGGGGCCGGTGTGGTACCACGGGCGGTACCAAGTAGGGCCGGGGGGGGGAGCCGGACAGCGCCCACGGACCCTGGCACAACGCCGGGCTCTGGAACAGCGCCGGTGCCCGCGGGCCCCGGGACAGCGGCGGGGCCGGTGTGGTACCACGGGCGGTACCAAGTAGGGCCGGGGGGGGGAGCCGGACAGCGCCCACGGACCCTGGCACAACGCCGGGCTCTGGAACAGCGCCGGTGCCCGCGGGCCCCGGGACAGCGGCGGGGCCGGTGTGGTACCACGGGCGGTACCAAGTAGGGCCGGGGGGGGGAGCCGGACAGCGCCCACGGACCCTGGCACAACGCCGGGCTCTGGAACAGCGCCGGTGCCCGCGGGCCCCGGGACAGCGGCGGGGCCGGTGTGGTACCACGGGCGGTACCAAGTAGGGCCGGGGGGGGGAGCCGGACAGCGCCCACGGACCCTGGCACAACGCCGGGCTCTGGAACAGCGCCGGTGCCCGCGGGCCCCGGGACAGCGGCGGGGCCGGTGTGGTACCACGGGCGGTACCAAGTAGGGCCGGGGGGGGGAGCCGGACAGCGCCCACGGACCCTGGCACAACGCCGGGCTCTGGAACAGCGCCGGTGCCCGCGGGCCCCGGGACAGCGGCGGGGCCGGTGTGGTACCACGGGCGGTACCAAGTAGGGCCGGGGGGGGGAGCCGGACAGCGCCCACGGACCCTGGCACAACGCCGGGCTCTGGAACAGCGCCGGTGCCCGCGGGCCCCGGGACAGCGGCGGGGCCGGTGTGGTACCACGGGCGGTACCAAGTAGGGCCGGGGGGGGGAGCCGGACAGCGCCCACGGACCCTGGCACAACGCCGGGCTCTGGAACAGCGCCGGTGCCCGCGGGCCCCGGGACAGCGGCGGGGCCGGTGTGGTACCACGGGCGGTACCAAGTAGGGCCGGGGGGGGGAGCCGGACAGCGCCCACGGACCCTGGCACAACGCCGGGCTCTGGAACAGCGCCGGTGCCCGCGGGCCCCGGGACAGCGGCGGGGCCGGTGTGGTACCACGGGCGGTACCAAGTAGGGCCGGGGGGGGGAGCCGGACAGCGCCCACGGACCCTGGCACAACGCCGGGCTCTGGAACAGCGCCGGTGCCCGCGGGCCCCGGGACAGCGGCGGGGCCGGTGTGGTACCACGGGCGGTACCAAGTAGGGCCGGGGGGGGGAGCCGGACAGCGCCCACGGACCCTGGCACAACGCCGGGCTCTGGAACAGCGCCGGTGCCCGCGGGCCCCGGGACAGCGGCGGGGCCGGTGTGGTACCACGGGCGGTACCAAGTAGGGCCGGGGGGGGGAGCCGGACAGCGCCCACGGACCCTGGCACAACGCCGGGCTCTGGAACAGCGCCGGTGCCCGCGGGCCCCGGGACAGCGGCGGGGCCGGTGTGGTACCACGGGCGGTACCAAGTAGGGCCGGGGGGGGGAGCCGGACAGCGCCCACGGACCCTGGCACAACGCCGGGCTCTGGAACAGCGCCGGTGCCCGCGGGCCCCGGGACAGCGGCGGGGCCGGTGTGGTACCACGGGCGGTACCAAGTAGGGCCGGGGGGGGGAGCCGGACAGCGCCCACGGACCCTGGCACAACGCCGGGCTCTGGAACAGCGCCGGTGCCCGCGGGCCCCGGGACAGCGGCGGGGCCGGTGTGGTACCACGGGCGGTACCAAGTAGGGCCGGGGGGGGGAGCCGGACAGCGCCCACGGACCCTGGCACAACGCCGGGCTCTGGAACAGCGCCGGTGCCCGCGGGCCCCGGGACAGCGGCGGGGCCGGTGTGGTACCACGGGCGGTACCAAGTAGGGCCGGGGGGGGGAGCCGGACAGCGCCCACGGACCCTGGCACAACGCCGGGCTCTGGAACAGCGCCGGTGCCCGCGGGCCCCGGGACAGCGGCGGGGCCGGTGTGGTACCACGGGCGGTACCAAGTAGGGCCGGGGGGGGGAGCCGGACAGCGCCCACGGACCCTGGCACAACGCCGGGCTCTGGAACAGCGCCGGTGCCCGCGGGCCCCGGGACAGCGGCGGGGCCGGTGTGGTACCACGGGCGGTACCAAGTAGGGCCGGGGGGGGGAGCCGGACAGCGCCCACGGACCCTGGCACAACGCCGGGCTCTGGAACAGCGCCGGTGCCCGCGGGCCCCGGGACAGCGGCGGGGCCGGTGTGGTACCACGGGCGGTACCAAGTAGGGCCGGGGGGGGGAGCCGGACAGCGCCCACGGACCCTGGCACAACGCCGGGCTCTGGAACAGCGCCGGTGCCCGCGGGCCCCGGGACAGCGGCGGGGCCGGTGTGGTACCACGGGCGGTACCAAGTAGGGCCGGGGGGGGGAGCCGGACAGCGCCCACGGACCCTGGCACAACGCCGGGCTCTGGAACAGCGCCGGTGCCCGCGGGCCCCGGGACAGCGGCGGGGCCGGTGTGGTACCACGGGCGGTACCAAGTAGGGCCGGGGGGGGGAGCCGGACAGCGCCCACGGACCCTGGCACAACGCCGGGCTCTGGAACAGCGCCGGTGCCCGCGGGCCCCGGGACAGCGGCGGGGCCGGTGTGGTACCACGGGCGGTACCAAGTAGGGCCGGGGGGGGGAGCCGGACAGCGCCCACGGACCCTGGCACAACGCCGGGCTCTGGAACAGCGCCGGTGCCCGCGGGCCCCGGGACAGCGGCGGGGCCGGTGTGGTACCACGGGCGGTACCAAGTAGGGCCGGGGGGGGGAGCCGGACAGCGCCCACGGACCCTGGCACAACGCCGGGCTCTGGAACAGCGCCGGTGCCCGCGGGCCCCGGGACAGCGGCGGGGCCGGTGTGGTACCACGGGCGGTACCAAGTAGGGCCGGGGGGGGGAGCCGGACAGCGCCCACGGACCCTGGCACAACGCCGGGCTCTGGAACAGCGCCGGTGCCCGCGGGCCCCGGGACAGCGGCGGGGCCGGTGTGGTACCACGGGCGGTACCAAGTAGGGCCGGGGGGGGGAGCCGGACAGCGCCCACGGACCCTGGCACAACGCCGGGCTCTGGAACAGCGCCGGTGCCCGCGGGCCCCGGGACAGCGGCGGGGCCGGTGTGGTACCACGGGCGGTACCAAGTAGGGCCGGGGGGGGGAGCCGGACAGCGCCCACGGACCCTGGCACAACGCCGGGCTCTGGAACAGCGCCGGTGCCCGCGGGCCCCGGGACAGCGGCGGGGCCGGTGTGGTACCACGGGCGGTACCAAGTACGGCCGGGGGGGGGAGCCGGACAGCGCCCGCGGACCCTGGCACAACGCCGGGCCCTGGAACAGCGCCGGTGCCAATGAGAGGGCTGTGTGTCCTGTGTGCTGAGGTGAGCGGTAAACCCAATCGGATAGGTGTGCTTTTGCGCATGCGCGCTCCCGCCGCCCTGCGGCCTCCGCGGCCACGCCTGCGCACTGCCGCGCCTCGTGGCGCCCGGCGGCACTTCCGCCCTCAGCCGGAGCCTGGCGTCGGTTTTGCGACAGCCGTAAGTGCGGGCGGGCGGCGGAGCGGAGCGGACGGGGCGGCGGCGCGATGAGGCCGCAGCAGGCGCCGGTGGCGGGCAAGGTGTTCATCCAGCGCGACTACAGCGGTGGGACGCGCTGCCAGTTCCAGAGCAAGTTCCCCGCCGAGCTGGAGAACCGGGTGAGGCGGGGCGGGCCGGGGCGGGCGCACCGGGCCTCACGGGCCTGCTCCCGGGTGGCGTTGCCCCGCTCGGAGCCGGTTGCGCGGGTTCCCCCGAGGGCGGGGCAGCGCCGGTGCGCGGTTCCTCCGCCGTGCCCCGGTCTGCGGCCGGTCCCGGTTGTGTCTGAGCACGGAGCCCGCTCCGTGCTCTCAGGGCATTGTGCTGTCCCCTGCAATCCTGCCCGTGCTGCCGAGGCCTCACAAATGTTTTTTTAAGTACTTCCCTTTCGGTCGGTGCTGTCAGATGTGGTGCAGTCAGACAAACACGCCTTCCTACCCCATTTTCCTTCCCTCACTCGGCTTTTTCCTCTTCCCCGCTCCTGTGTTGGGTGTTTGGTCAGCCCTGCAGCAGCACCGAGGCACTGTGGGTGTGGAGAGCCCTCTCTGTGGCTGTTCCTTGTAACCCAGCACATCCCTGTGTGCCAATTCTGCTTTTTGCAGAGTTGAATTGCAGTTTTTCACAGCTGAATTGCAGTTTTTCACAGTTGAATTTGCTTAGGCTCTGACTGGTTTTGTGTCCCCCTTGTGTTTGAGTTCAGCCCCAGCCTGTTAGACCCAGGTGTCTGACAAAGAGCTGCAGGTTTGTGCCTGTTCCTTGCAACCCAGCACATCCCTGTGTGCAAATTCTGGTTTTTTCACATCTGAATTTCACATTTGCTTGGGCTCTGACTGGTTCTGTGTCCCCGTTGTGTTTGAGTTCAGCCCCAGCCTGTTAGATTCAGGTATCTGACAAAGAGCTGCAGGTTTGTGCCTGGTCATTGTAACCCAGCACATCCCTGTGTGCCAATTCCAGTTTTTTCACATCTGAATTGTGCATTTTCTTAGGCTCTGAATGGTTTTGTGTCCCTGGCCCAGCCTGTTAGACCCAGGTGTCTGATAAAGAACTGCAGCTCTGTGCCTGGTCGTTGTAACCCAGCACATCCCTGTGTGCCAGTTCTGCTTGTTGCAGAGTTGAATTGCAGTTTTCCACAGCTGAATTGCAGTTTTTGCACAGCTGAATTTGCTTAGGCCCTGTGCCTCTGAGCACAGTGCAGGTGATCCCTGGGCAGTTCTGAGCCGTGCCCCTGACAGCCCCACGTGCTTCTCCTGCAGATTGACAGGCAGCAGTTTGAGGAGACAGTCCGGACGCTGAACAACCTCTACGCAGAAGCTGAAAAGCTCGGGGGCCAGTCTTACCTGGAGGGCTGCCTCGCCTGCCTGACTGCCTACACCATCTTCCTGTGCATGGAGACACACTATGAAAAGGTATGGGCCTGCTTCCCCTTCGTGCTGGTGCTTGGTTCTTGGTGGGTTTCCTGTGTTTTGGTGCAGGTTCTGTGTGGTGCTGGTCAGTTTGGGTCCCCTGGGGGTCACCCTGACTCCTGTGGAGCCACCAGACCAGTTGTGGCTGTTATTTCTGCTGTTGTCACAGCCGTGTCCTCTGTGCTGTTTCCTCACCAGGTTCTAAAGAAAATTGCAAAGTTCATTCAGGAACAGAATGAGAAGATCTACGCTCCTCAGGGCCTTCTGCTGACAGACCCCATCGAAAGAGGATTAAGAGTTGTATCCTTGTGTGGCTTCTGGCCTTGCCTCCTGCCCTGTGCTCCTGCTTTGCCTCAGTGAGGCACCCCTGCTCCTGCTTGATTTTTGATGTACAATCAGTGATTGGTTTTGTTGCTCTTTGTTGTGTCCTGGCCCCAGGCAGGTTTCAGTTGTTAAATTTGGTACATGGAAAGCCCATGAAGATGTGGAACCCATCCTTTGTGAGTGCCTGGAAGGAGCACTTGAGATCCTTCCTCTATTCCAGTAACTCCAGAAATGCTGCTTTTCTGACTGGGGGAAGAAGTGACCATGTTGGCAGGACAGAAACTGATGTTGTGAGAACAAGACCTGGCTGTTAATTAATTAAATATTAAATTATTAACCCTCAGCTCAGGTTCTGGTGAAGATTTTGCCCAGCACTTGCTCTTGTGGCTTATTCAACCCTTTTTTCAGCTGTTGAGCCACACTGCAGACATTTTATGTGGTTATTGCCTGAAGTTGTAAAGACCTCTCATAACAAATGGGGAAATATAATGAGTAACATATCTTTCTTTGGAAATAATGAAACCACAGCAACTTGGAACCCAACTGAATGTATGATAAGGCTAATTCCTTGCAGCTGGGTTTTCTGTGGCCTTGTCCACATAGCTCAGAGCTGTCACCTACACGACTCCTGTTTTCTCAGTGTGTTTTCCATTGTGCATACACCTTCTGGGAAAAAAACCAAAAGCAAACAAACAAAACATTCAACTTGAGTAAAAGCATTTTCAGCTTGGTAGTGACTTATTAGCAGTATTAACTGTTTTGCTTGGTGCACAGCCTTCCCCAAAATTTAGCAGGGGGGCAAGGCTCAAGCCCACACAGCACTGAGTTCCTGTGCAGGCCCTGGGCTGGGAGCCTGATGAAACATCTCACATAGACTGTTCCCTTTGGAGCTCTGGGACTGCCTTTAGACAGCTAAGATATCAAAAATCCCATCATCTTAATGTTTTCTGTCTTTTTCTGGGTATGTTTTCATAGTCTTTTATAGTATATTTCCCTAACAGCTTTTCTGTGCAGATTGAAATTACCATTTATGAAGACAGAGGTTTGACCAGTGGAAGATAAAACTGTGGAGTCTCAGGTACACATTACCCTTATCTCAGATCAATCTCAACATCTTTCTGTGCTCAGGGCACTGGGTGCTGTCATGCTGTCAGTTTATCCCACCCTTGTATGAAATCAAAGACTGTTCACACAAATCCTGTATGGACCAGCTCTTTTTGGAAGTAAAAATATCAGTAAAGGGCAGCATGTTGCTGAAGAGAGAAGAGAAATTTGAGTCTTGGTTGTGTAAATATGCTAACTTGTGCTGTATTATATCCAAAATTCTTCTCAGGTCAGTAAAAGATGGACTCTGGGTGTACTCTAGCACACAGAGCCTTCTTGCTGCAGTTTTTCAGTGGGCTGCTGTTCTGGTTATCATGCTGATGTCTTTACTTGTGATGCTTTTGGTTAAGAGGGCCCAGCAGCCTTGCACAGCTCTGCTGAGAGGCTCTCAGTTCTCTGGATGCTGTGGGGCACCTCACAAAGTGAGGAGCGTTCACAGGACTGGAGCTGCTGCTAATTGTATCCAGTGCAGAGCACCAAAATCACTGCCTGTGCCTTTGCTTTTGGAAAGGACACTGGGACTGGCTCCCTTGTGTTAGGTGCTGGGATGGGAGTGTTAAGTCCAGATTGTTGGCAGGATATGCAGGAAAGAGTGGGAAATATTTATGCCAAAGAAATAAATAGTAAAGGTCTTTTTTTTTTTTTTTGTTTGGACAAATGGAATCAAGAGCTCTGGGTTCTGCTCACAACCCATGGTAACTTGCTCCTCTTGCTGCAGCTGTAGAAAGGTTTGTGTAGGGGAGCTTTTGGTGTGACTCAGGAGGAGTTCCTAAGCCTGTGAAACTTCTTTTCTAGATGAAAGCTCACCGGTGGACTTGCTGTACCAAGGTTCCCCTACCTCCTACTTTAGAGCATCATTCCTTTCTCTGCTGCCAGATCCACAGTGCCATCTACTACAAGGACTAACTTCCTCAAACTGCTCCCCAGGGGGTGACCTAGCTGGTCAGCATCCACTTTGCAGTAGATTTGGAAGCAACAGGATCACTTTTTCATTTTTGTTTCTTTTGTTTTTTATTTTGTTTTTTTCTCAAGAAAAGGCAGAAGTGGTAAAGCTGTGTTGTCTCCTGAAAGAAATGGGGCTCTCAGCCCAGCAGAGGTTTGTTTTAGTCCTGTAAGTGCAGTGCTGTTCATCCCTGGTTCTTAAACCCTTCTGTGTGTCAGTTGGGCTTTGGAAAGCTCCAGCTCAAAGCTGGCAATTTCCCTCCAGCCCAGTGTAAGAGTGCAGAGATACACAGTGCCTCTTCCAGTGAGGAGTGACTCAAGGCACCGTCCTTGTGGAAAACCAGAAGGGAAAATGTTCCTTGAGTTAAGGTCTGGGTTATCCCTGGGGGAGGGGGCTGTAGCCAGACTTTAACCCTGGTGGTTTTTCTGCCCCCGTGTCTGTGCTGGTGTTGGCCCCATCAGTGCTCACAAGAGGGGCCTGGTCACTCATGAAACAGTGAGCACAGTAAAGTGGATGCTGAGCCAATCAAAATAACGATTCCCACCCTTCTCTGATTAACATGTGAAGTGTAAAACTGTTTCTTTATGGATTTCTTACATATAATTTATAGGAAAACATTGATTTGACAAACTGTAAGATACTGTGTAAGATGGATTTCTTAATTCTGTCTCTGGCACACGCTGAGGAGCTGAGCTGTGCATCCCTCAGCGTCCCCGTGCATTGCTCAGCAGTACCTGCACGAGTGAATTCCCCACACTCCAAGCTGGCTGAATCCTTTCTCTCACATCCTTTGCCCATGTCAGAGCCCAGGTGTGGCAGGAACTCAGGAGTTCAGAGGAGACACTTTGGTGGAGGGGCTGGCTTGGTTGGTGGTGGTGCTGCAGGTGCTAATTCTGGACATGGAACTCCAGGCTCATTCCTCAGCCACTGGGGGGGTTGAGATTTGATTAATATTTTCATTGTATAAATTTGTTTTTTCTAAACTGTAACAGTGTTTGCCTTTCACAGCTGTTGCAATATGGGCAGAAGTACTGATGGATCAGTAAACCTTTTCTTAAACTGTGTGCAGGCGTGTTCTGGGCTGGGGGTGACCCCAGAGCGCCGGGCTGGGGGCGGCTGGAACCGCACGGGGCAGGGCTGGGGGCAGTGCCCAGGCTCTGTGGGCAGGGCTGGGGGCAGTGCCCGGGCTGCAGGGGCAGTGCCCAGGCTCTGTGGGCAGGGCTGGGGGCAGTGCCCGGGCTGCAGGGGCAGGGCTGGGGGCAGTGCCCGGGCTGCAGGGGCAGTGCCCAGGCTGCAGGGGCAGGGCTGGGGGCAGTGCCCGGGCTGCAGGGGCAGTGCCCAGGCTGCAGGGGCAGGGCTGGGGGCAGTGCCTGGGCTCTGGGGGCAGGGCTGGGGGCAGTGCCCGGGCTCTGTGGGCATGGCTGGGAGCCGTGCCCAGGCTCTGTGGGCATGGCTCCACCAGGGCCTGACTGTGTCCCTGTGCCCAGGCTGCAGGGGCATGGCTGCAGCAGGGCAGTGCCCACCTGGTGCCTGGCTGGGGATTGTGCCCAGGCTCTGTGGCTCTGGCTGCAGCAGGGTCAGTGGCCACCTGGAGCCTGGCTGGGGGCTGTGTCCAGATTCCATGGCTATGGTTCCATCATGGCCAGTGCCCACCTGATGCCTGGCTGTGTCCAAGCTCTGTGGGTATGGCTCCACCAGGGGTTGGCTGTGTCCCTGTGCCCAGGCTCCATGGCTCTGGCTCCACCATGCTCAGTGCCTACTTGGTGCCTGGCTGAGGGCTGTGCCCAGGTTCCATGGTTCCAGCTCCATCATGGCCAGTGCCCACCTGGTGCTGGGAGCTGTGTTCAGGCTCTGCGGCTATGGCTCCACCATGCTCAGTGCCCACCCAGTGCCTGGCTGGGTGCTGTGCCAGAGCTCTGTGGCTCTGGTTCCACCTGGTGCCCGGCTGTGTCCCTGTGCCCGGGCTCCGTGGCTCTGGCCCCCCGTGCTCGGTGCCCGGCTGTGTCCCTGTGCTCGGGCTCCGTGGCTCTGGCTCCCCGTGCTCGGTGCCCAGCCTGTGCCCGGCTGTGTCCCTGTGCCCGGGCTCTGTGGCTCTGGTTCCACCTGGTGCCCGGCTGTGTCCCTGTGCCCGGGCTCCGTGGCTCTGGCCCCCCGTGCTCGGTGCCCGGCCGGTGCCCGGCTGTGTCCAACCTGCTGAGCCCTGATTGGCTCAAACGGCTGCAGCCTCACTGCGCCTCCTCATTGGCCCAGAATCATTGGCTTGACGCCGCTCCCTGATTGGTGGAGGCGGCTGCAGCCCGAGCCGCCTCCTGGCTTCCGAGAGAGCTGCATCCGCTTCCTGATTGGCTGGAAAAGCGTGCGCCCCGTGATTGGCCAAACAGCTTTATTTCAATCCGCCTTCTGATTGGCCGCGGCAGCAGCGGCAGCTCCAATCTGCGTTCTGATTGGCCGAAAAAGATCCCTCTTTCAATCCCACTCCGTTTCCCGATTGGCCAAGTGCCCGCAGCGCGGTTCCCCATCCGCGGCCCCGGGCTGCGCGCATGCGCCGTGGCGCTTGGCGGGAGCGATGGCGGCCGCGACCGGCGGCGACTCGGACGGCGACAGCGAGGAGCTGGTGCTCACCCCGGCACAGCTGATCCACAGCCTGGAGCAGGTACCGCTGCCGCGGGCTGCACCGACGGGCTGGGGCCGGGCGAGCCGGGCGGTGCTGGGCGCAGCGCGGCCGATACCGAGCGGCGGGGCCGTGGCCGTGTTTTCCCCTCAGCAGCGTCGCTGAGGCCGTGCTCGCTTTCACTGACAGCGCGCCTTCTTTCAGGCCTGGCTGAACGAGAAATTTGCTCCGGAGCTGCTGGAGAGTAAACCTGAAGTCGTGGAGTGCGTGGTGGAGCAGCTGGACCATATGGTAGGCTCGGTTCTGCCGGCCCGGGTGCTGCGGGCAGGCCCTGCCTGCTGAGGCAGAGACGAGCCCGAGTCCCTCTGAGAGCTCCGGGCTTCCCTGTCTGAGCCAAAACTTCTTCTTTGAGCTTGCCTTGGAAAGGAGGCAGCGTGCTTTGGGTCATCAAAGCAGCCGCAGTCTGGGTTTGTGGGTTCTGTATTCCAGACTTCCTCTGTTTCTTTGTGTTTGGTGTTTTGAGCGTTTGATTTGTTGTTGCTTTTTCTTGCAGGAAGCCAACCTGAAACGGGCGAAGAGGGGAGACCTGAAGGTCAGCGTTCATCACATGGAGATCGAGAGGATCCGTTACGTGCTCAGCAGCTACCTCAGGTGTCGACTGGTGAAGGTAGAGCTTGCTGTGCAGCCCAGAGGGTGAAAAAGGGTCATTTCAGGAGGGGTTTTTACCCACACAGGCCTTCCTGCACTTAATTAAAGCATGTTCTCTGAAATATAACTCACATTAATTTATTGGACACACTGGGATTGTAATGAAGGAAATCACAGCAGTGTTGGTCACAATATTGTGGGTGCTGCTTGCTTCATGTGAGCCTGGGGTGGCAGAGCTGGGTGCTGTCCTGCTGTGCCTGTGTCCTGCTGCTTGGTGATCCCATGTGGTGTCACAGTTCAGGAGCAGGGATTTGGGCAGGCCTGCTTGCCAGCTCGTAGGGAATCCCGTGGAGAGTGGGGCTTTAAACACTGAACTCGTGGGAGAGATCTGTATCATTCTGTTGGGTTGTGTTCCAATATTAGATAGAGAAGTTTTTTCCCCACATCCTGGAGAAGGAGAAGTCTCGAGCTGAAGGGGAGCCCTCCATTTTATCACCAGAGGAATTTGCTTTTGCTAAAGAGTGAGTAGGTTTTCAATGTATCTTCCTCCCCTTTTATAGGTTATAGAAACTTACCTGTTTTGCTGAAGTTTTCTTGAGACTGTGAGCCTTAAACAGATTTGAAATAAGAATCAGTGTGTCTTACCAGGAGGTTTCCTTGTGGGAAAGAAAGGAACTGAAAATAACTCTGGTGACTTTGAGTTACCAGGGTAGGCCAAGGGCCTGTCTTTGGATGTGCCCATGGCATGAGGAGCTGTCTCTTACTCTTGTTTTGTGTCAATACTCTCCCTGCAGATTTGTATCTGATTAACCAGCTCAATACTTCACTGTTTTGTTTCAGGTACATGGCAAACACAGAGGCTTACCTGAAAAACGTGGCCCTAAAACACATGCCACCTAACCTGCAGAAAGTGTCTCTCCTAAAGTCAGGTGAGTCTCTCCAGCCTCTGGGGTAATCTGAAAATTGTAGAAGCAGGTGGAAGTGTGGGGAAAGCCCCAAATGTAAGGGCTAGTCCTCAGCTGAAGCAAAGGTGGTGTGGTGATAATGTTGTAACGTGGTTCCATGCTGCTGCCAGGGGATCCTGCTGGCCCCTGCTGCCAAGTCCTGTCTTGCACTGAGGCTGAGCACACACATCTGGTTGGAAGGGTCTGGTGTAAGTTTGTTCCCTGCCAGAGGAGCATAAGTAAGTGCTGAGCTTGTGCTCCCAATCTGTCTGCAGTTCCAAAGCCCAACCTGGACTCCTTTGTGTTCCTGAGGGTGCTGGAGCGGCAGGAGAACATCCTGGTGGAGCCAGAGACAGACGAGCAGAGGTAGGTGGGCATTTCTGCCTGTGGCACAGGTGCCACTCAGTGTCACTGTCACTGGGGGCTGCAGCTCACGCCCTGCTGTCTCTGCAGGGAATATGCCATCAACCTGGAGGAGGGCTCACAGCACCTGATCCGCTACAGAACCGTGGCCCCTCTGGTGGCCTCTGGAGCTGTGCAGCTCATCTGAGGGGACAGGTAAGTGCCTGGTGCTGCCACACCATCTCCCCCGGCCACCCCGCCTCTGTGGGGCTGCCAGGAGCTCCCCGTGGGGCTGGGTGCCCGCTGGCATGGCAGGCAGAGCACAGGGCACTGGAGGTGAGTACCACGGTGTTGTACAGCAGAGGTGTTCATGAACCCCACAGCTCATCAGGCTCCTGGTTGCTTGTGACATTCCCAGCAGTCCTTACAGTGGCATTGCTGGGTGAGGTCAGGCTGTGTCACAGGGCAGTGTCTGGAAAGATTCAGTGTGTAGCTGCCTTGTTTAAGAGCAGTGGCATCACTGAAATGGAACAACTGTGGTCATGGACTCAGGAGAAAGCAGTTTCTGCTGTGTGTCATGTGAATACCCTCCCTGCAGAGGGTGAGGGTGCAGCTTCAGGTTGCATTTGTGAGAGCAGACTGTCAGACTCCTTTCTGCAGAAACCATTGCTAAGGGAAGTGGGACACACAGTTCATTTTTGCTGGTCACACAAAGCAAAAGCTCCTCTGGTTGTGCTGCCCCATGCAGGCCTCGGGGTGTTGTGTGGTACCTCAGAGCCTGTTGAGTGCGTGGGCAGACAGGGCCTTGTGTTCTTCAGGGCAGGGTTTCTGTTCCCTGCTGAGAGATGTCTGGGAGCATCTTCCTCTGCAAGGCTGGGGGTGACACAGGGCATCTTGTAGTGTGAGTGGCTTTGCATGTGTGGTTTATAGTCTTCCTAATTAATCCATTTAGGTAAAGAAGATTCTTTCAAGTATAGACATTAAGAGGGGGCTGGGTTTAATCCTTAGGAATCAGTAGCATATTCCTCTGGACAGCCTCCCAGGAAGGGCTTGTGAACTGTGCCCTGCCTGTATTTACAGCCAGACAACTTCACAGAGGTGACTGAAGCTTCCAGACTAAATCCTTGTTAATCTGCTGCTGTGGAAGCGTGCTCCACAGGGTGTGCCTGAGGAGTGTGCAGGTGGCACGTCTGCAGGCTTTCTCCTTGGCCCTGTTCATCTGACTGAATGCTTGTCCAGACAGCTTGTGCTTGTCACTGCATGTCACGTGGCTGCAGCACAGGGGCATCTGTCCTCTTCTGGTGGCTGAACTTGAACTGACCTGGTGCTTTCCGGAGTGCCTTTGGTGTAGCTCATCTCTGGAGCTTGCAGCACATGGCTGTGCCTTCACAGGCAGCCAGGAGAGTGGACATGGCTCTAGCAGGCTGAGATCAGTCAGGCTCCTGTCAGTTTTCAGGTTGTGGCACACCTGAAAACGCTACCTGCTTTTGTGTCTTTCCATGACTTCCATGACCAGGAC